TTCAGTGTCTTCCTGTCCACCACCTTTTCCAGATTATCTTGTTTGCAGCCAATGATGGAGCCGGCCTTCTTAATCAGATTATTAAGTCTGTTGGTGTCTCCGGCTCCAATGCTGGTCTCTCAGCAGACTATGGCAAAGTACAGTGCACTGGCCACAACAGACTGAACATCTCCAACATCTTGCTGCACACGTTGAAGGATCGAAGTTTCCTCAAGAAAAAGAGCCGACTCATCCCCTTCTTGTACACAGCGTTGATGTTGGCCTTCCAGTTCAGGAACTTGTACTTGTCCAGGAACTTGTACTCCTCCACCATGTCCAGTGGGGCTCCAGTATCACTGACCACCGTATCAGACAGCACACGGCCCAGTCGGACAAACTGTGGTCTGCCTGTGAGGTAGTCAGTGATCCGGTGGATGCGTTAACCCCCACCACCCGCAGCTTCTTACTCAGTAGCACTGGTTGGATGGGGTTGAATGCACTGGAGAAATCAAAGAAAGTGATTCTCACAGAGCCACCGGTTCCATCCAGGTGCGACTGAGCTCGTTGCAGCAGGTAGATGATGGCATTGTCTACTCCCACATGAGGCTGGTATGCAAATTGCAGAGGGTCCAGTGAGGATTTCACCTGCGGTCGGAGGTGGGCCAAGACCAGCACCTTCATCACATGTGATATGAGGGCAACTGGTCAGTAGTTGTTGAGGCCAGACTTCTTTGGTACAGGGACCAGGCACGATGTCTTCCACAGCACCGGGACTTCCTCTTCCTTCAGGCTCAGGTTGAAGAGATGTTGCAGGACATAAGACAGCTGGATGGTGCAGGTCTTCAGGTCCCTGGGGCTGATGCCATCAGGTCCAGCAGCCTTGCCTTGGTGGAGTCTCTCCAGCTGTCTCCTAACCTAGCCAGTCGGCACAGGGAGGGGGTGGTCATGGTGTCAGTGGTGGAAGAGCCCTTTGATGTTAAGGGCTCTTTGTCCATGCAGCTCACCAGTAGGGACAGAGGGGGGAGTGGGGGAGGCAGCCGAGATGTTTGTGAGGTGTGAGGAGGAGACAGATGAGGGCTGTGAGCTAAACCTATTGAAGAAACAGTTTAGCTCGTTGGCCCTCTCCAGGGAGCCCCCTGGTTGTCTCCCTCCAACCTTGAAGCCAGTTATCTGCTTCATCCCGGTCCACACCTCCCTCACGTTGTTCTACTGGAGTTTGGCCTCCAGCTTCCTCCTGTAAGAGTCCTTGCACTCCCTGAGCTTCACCTTCAGGTGAAGCTGGACTCTCCTGAGCTCGTCCCTGTCCCAAGACCTGAAAGCTGCTTTCTTCTTATTAAGAAGAGCTTTCAGGTCACTGGTGATCCATGGCTTATTGTTGGGGAAGCAGTGTACTGTCCGTGATGGTATGGTGGTTTGTTCACAGAATTTAATGTATTCTGTGATGCAGTCCGTCATGCTGTTGATGTCCTCCCCATGTGGTCCACACAGCACATCCCAACCCGTTGACTCAAAGCAGTCCTGCAGGGCGTCATTAGCCTCCCGAGACCTCCTCCTCACAGTCCTGGTGGTCACAGGCTGCCTCTGCACCAGAGGAACATACCTGGGTGTTAACAGGATCAGGTTGTAATCAGACCTGCCAAGGGGGGAAGGGCAGTGGCACTGTATGCATCTGCACATGGAGAACTCTGTCAGCTAGCCATATTAGGCAAAGTGAACATCTTTTCTTCTACATAGTTGTCCTCAGTCTCATTTGCTTAACTTGGTCATGGAGGCATCAACATTTAATTGAGATGGTAAATGAACAGTGAAAACTCATCATAACTTAATTTAACACCATTATTCATAATTACACTTAATGTTTACTTCTCCTGATCTTTACCTCCCTATAATAGCCCAAACCCTAACCCTAAGACTTTGATAATGCTTCATTGTGAAGATTGTAAGAATTCATTAAAGGGCGGCGACGTGGCGGCTCGGCAAATTTCGATCCTTCGCCATGAACGAATAAACTGATGGTCAGATCTTCGCAGTGAAAAACAAAGGTTCTTTTGAGGGGCTAAAAATGTTTGAAACATAAGAGAACTTGGCACACAGATTTAAAGCCCTAAATTTTGTTACATATTATAGTTTTATTGCTTCAGAGTGGCAATTCGGCTCGATAGCGCCCCCTACAAAACTTTGACGAAGCAGCCCTTGCAGTATGTTTCACATAGATTTACACAATTTGGTAGGCACATGTATCATAGTACATATGTCTTAGGGGTCCATGCTCGAAACCCAACCGGAAGTCAGCCTTTTTGAATTTTGTATGAATTTCTAATGTCATTTTTGCCATTTCCAGGCGCTGTACTTTAACAAACTCCTCCTAGGGAAATAATCAAATCAACTTAAAATTTGGTCAGTGCAATCTAAAGACCTTTGTGATTAAAAGTTAATCAAAGTTTGTTGTTTTGTGAAAGGCTGTTGCCGTGGCGATGATTCTTCGCCATGACAAATTAAGGTGTTTTTGAGGAGCTAAAAATGCTCAAAGCATAACCAAACTTGGCACACACATTTAAAATCATGCATGTAGTTATCTGTTGTAGTGCTGGGCGGTATGACCAAAAACTTGTATCACGGTATTTTTTTTAAGATTCTGGCGGTGTCACGGTATATCGCGGTATTTTTTTTCCGTTGGCTGTGTTTTTATAAAGGTTTATAGTGGCTTACTCTACTGACAGGAGTTCATAGAATATAAAAACATTTTAATGTCATCATGTAGAAAGGCTTTGCTTACTTTAGGGTTTGCTCGTTTGTTTGTATAATGTTGGGATAGCAGTTTGGCTGAAGTATTGTCGCCCCGGTAAGACATACCTTGAATCCAGTGTTTTAATCATTGCTCTGAGCCCGTCTTTCCCGACTGTCTGTAGCGGGACCAGAGCTGGATTGTTATTGCGTTCGTAATGTCGCTCCACCGCTTGCTTTTCTTGTCATATGCAGTGCCTTGAGTAAATGCCTCTTCAAGCGATGTCTGACCCTTTGGCTTCTGATTCACTGATTCACTCGCGCGGTTACTGGTTGACGGTCTCGAATCCGACGACCGTAATCACACTCTTGGTATTCCAACACGTTTTCTGCTGAGGTGATGGAGTAAGTTGCTAGTGTTACCACCAGCGGCAACAACAGTGGCTCGACAAACTTTGCAATATATAGTGTTTTGGACATCGGATTTTTAAAACCAAAATGATTAGGGGTCCCTCTCAATACACTCTAGTCAACTAGCTCCAACTGCAGCGACGAACAACATATTTTACTGCCTGTTGAAGAGTTACAGCAGTTGTTTGTTGTGTGAAAAATTGATATCATATGGGAAATTAAAACCGGTTGAATGCAGGTTCTTTGAATACTTCTTAACAATGTTGGTAGTGCCACACTTTTTTGCCATGTAAACTATTGATGACTTCATTGCTGCTGGTGCGTTGTCTTTACAATTTGTGTCAGCATGTGTGTTTGGTAACTGTGCACAGGGAGTGTAAGAGGGAATGATGGCAGGAAATAAAAGTGTATCTACAGGAGACTATTTGCTCAATACTAATATTTCTTTGTAACGTCTCTGTGTGTGTTTAATATTTTCCTGCAGACGTACAGCAGCTGTTGGTGGTTCAAGAAGAGGTTCCCCCTGAGCAGCAGGAGTGGAGCTCCAGTCTGGAACAGGATGACCCAGAGCCCGCACACATTAAAGAGGAACAGGAGGACCCAGAGCCCCCACACATTAAAGAGGACCAGGAGGACCCAGAGCCCCCACGCATTAAAGAGGAGCAGGAGGAACTCTGGATCAGTCAGGAGGGAGAGCAGCTTCAAGGGCTGGAGGAGGCCGATGTCAAGTTCTCATTCACTCCTGTGAAGAGTGAAGATGATGAAGAGGAAGCTCAGTCCTCACAGCTTCATCAAAGACAAACTGAACAGATGGAAACAGATGCTGATGGGGAAGACTGTGGAGGACCAGAACCAGGCAGGAACTCAGATCCAGATAGACATCCAGAACCAGATACTGATGACAATGGAGACTCTTCTGACACTGATGTCAGTGATGAACCTCAGTCAGGTTTGAACTCTTTGAAACCTGATGAAGTTCATGTCAGTGATTCAAGATGTAGTGCTGGTGAGAAACTATTTACATGTTCTGAGTGTGGGAAAACCACTGGCAGAAGTGGAAATCTGAAGAGACACATGAGAATCCACACAGGAGAGAAACCTTACAGCTGCTCAGTTTGTAAGGAATCTTTTAAGCAGGGTTCAACTTTAAAGAAACACATGAGAATCCACAAAGGAGTGAAACCTTTCAGCTGCTCCGTCTGTAAGGAATCTTTTAACCAGGGTTCACATTTACAGATACACATGAGAACCCACACAGGAGAGAAATCTTACAGCTGCTCAGTTTGTAAGAAATCTTTTCAGTATTGTTCAACTTTAAAGAAACACATGCGAATTCACACAGGAGAGAAACCTTACAGCTGCTCAGTTTGTAAGAAATATTTTAACCATTGTTCAACTTTAAAGACACACATGAGAACCCACACAGGAGAGAAACCTTACAGCTGCTCAGTTTGTAAGAAATCTTTTATCCAGTGTTCACATTTACAGATACACATGAGAATCCACACAGGAGAGAAACCCTACAGCTGCTCAGTTTGTGAGAAATCTTTTAACCATTGTTCAAATTTAAAGATGCACATGAGAACCCACACAGGAGAGAAACCTTACAGCTGCTCAGTGTGTGATGCAAGATTTCGGCACAAGTCGGCTCTGAAGTTGCACATAATTACTCATACAAGAGACAACAGGCTTTAGTGGTTCTGTTTGTATACAAAAGGTAAATCTGACACACCACATGGCACATAACACAGGGGAAGAAATATGGTGCTTTTTTCCTATCTTTATTCAAAAGCATGTTTTAATTTGAGAGCGTTGTTTATTGAGTCCACGTTCAGATTTTGAATCGTTTCCCTCAAAACCCTGTCCTCACACACAATTAGCCCCCGCTTGCTATTAGTGACACAATAAACCTTTATTGCTCTGAGAGATCCATGCTTTGTTTAAGGTGACGCCTCCTCACGTTGGCAGGGAGCTTAGTACTGTCTTTTGTTTGATCCAGTAGACTAATTGAGTTTTTATTTTCGAGTTAGTGTTGGTTTTCTAGAGGAGTCCGGGGAACGCTCACCTGGAAGAAAATGTTGTTGTGAACTGTTGCACCCTTGTTGCTATATTGAGAGCCGTGCGGAGGCAATCCTTCAATCATAAATTTGTTCTGAGTTTATAATTCAGAATAGGGCTGGGTGGTATGACCAAAAATGCATATCACGGTATTTTGTACGACTCTGGCAGTTTCACGGTAATTTTTCAGTTTCACGCGTTAAAGCATTCATTAATTAACGCCAAAAAGAAAGGGCTGGCCAGCGAGCGGTGAACAGCTGTTTGTGTGGCGTGTCTTCCATTCCATCACTTCCTGTTTCCTTCACCTACATTCCCCTGGGTCCTAAACCCCTCCATGGAAAGAAACGGGATTAGACTGTAGGATTTAGTTGTTAGTAGGTGTTGTTTAGGTTTATTTCTTTAGATATATATAACATTTTATTTTATTATCAGAACAGTGAAGAAAAGGTTACCCTGAAAATACACACTCCAGTACAGTAGGTGGCGGTATGCACCTATGCAAGTTGGTTGCAATCCGCCAATGGAATTTAAAGAAGAAGAAGCCCCTCCATGTACAGCTTCTTATCACGTCTATGTACCAACGTACATTTATAACAAATACCACACATATTACGGTAATCAACGTTGCATAAGTGTCTGACCTAAATACCTTTTGTTGTTCAGTCTTTGTTCATCCTGCATCGCTCTTTTCTGTTCTTTAATGTAACGTTGCTGGAGCGACAGAGCCTCTCCCAGCTGTTAGCAGACTGTTAGCGAGCTGTACCCAGCATGCAGTTCGGCAGTGAAATTTTATAAATGTACAATTATTAGTGTTACAAATTGTTTATCTGTCAAAATGTTGTGTCGTGGTGTTTTGCCCTGTTAAAGAGCGTTACTTGTGTGTTGTTAATTGTTGTTATAAAGTTATGACCATGACTAGGGTTCCCACTCAACAGTTAAGTTAAGACAACTAGCTCCGATTGTAGCGCTTCCAGCGGAGAACAATATATTTTGCTGCCTGTTGAAGAGCGACAGAAGTTGTTTCGGCTGTGTGCCGGTATGACGGTATATGAAAAATTCATATCGGTATACCGCCCAGCCCTAATTCAGAACATAACAAAAGTTTTAAGAAACACATGAGAATCCACCCAGGGGAAAAACCTTTCAGCTGCTCAGTTTGTGATAAAAGATTTATGCGCAACGCAGATCTAAAGGTACACATGAAAACTCACACAGGAAAGAATCCCCTTTAGCCCTTTTACCCAATCACCCCTCCGCATATCCCTTCAAGCGGTGGGCCCATAGGGTGGCGGCTCAATGTAGATTTTTCGGGTTGTTCCTGGTCGAACCATATGTCTCATGTCCCGAAAACCAGACCCTCACCAGCAATCTCCACTCCCAGGTCTGGCTCCAGAAAGGGGCCCCGGTTTCCCTTTTTTCAGCCCAGCTGCCACAACTCTTTTCAGATGTTGAGTGAATTCTTGGTCTGAGAACACAGGTCACAGGTCACACACACGGCCCTAAACCATGTTAAGGTGATGATTTATTGGAAGGGTGTAACATTTAAGACACGTTGCTTTCTGTTAATATTATGATGTTACCCAACTTCATAGTGTTGTTTTTACTGTTTAAGTTTTTCTGATTTGCTGATGTAAATATCTTCTTGTGTAAAGTTATTTTGCATGTTTAGATCCAGAATTGCAGAAAAATACCAGAAAGCAATTCATGTGTTTATGCATTGACTTCTGCAAGTGTGTGTTTTCCTTTGTGTAATGTTATAGTTTCTGTTGTCTCTGTTTAGTCACCCAGTCCTACGCACCTTTCACTGTCCCTGTTTCTCCTCTTGTATATATTGGTTTTAATGGTTTTGAGGAAATGTGTTATGATTTAGGTTTGATGTTTTCCTGGTAATTTTAATCTCTTTTCTGGTAATGTGGATCCTGAGCTTAGTACATACTGTAATATCAAAAGAATGTATCTAAATGTAAAAAACAAGAATGAAATCACACATTGTCATTTTACTTATTGCTGAGGGAGCAGAGGAGCAGAAAAAGATCAGAAGGCAGTTAATGGGTTGAATTATTCTGCAGAAGTAAATAAATGTTGGACGGGAGTTATGGCAGAAGAAGTGGGACGACAACAAAGGAAGACATTATTCTAACATTCAGAAATCCATAAATGTGAAGACATACAAAGGGAAGTATACAAAAGAGGAGGTCATAATATCAAGGTTAAGATTCGGACATACAGGACTCTGTATTTAATGGCAAAAATGGACTCGGATATAAGTGCACTATTTGTAATGTTACCGAAGACGTGGAGCATGTTGTCCTGAAATGTCAAAGATACAATTCAGACGGGTATCTTGAAGCAAAAAATGTGTCAGTTGCGACTGAAGTGGAGTTTGGAGGGAGTTCTGGCAGCGGACGAAGAATGGCGCGAGTGCTGCAGGGCGCTGTTGCGATTTCTTAAAGAAACAGGATTAGACCGTAGGATTTAGTTGTTAGTAGGTATTGTTTAGGTTTATATATATATATATATTTTTTTTTTTTTTTAATTTTATTTTATTTTATTATTAGAACAGTGAAGAAAAGTTTACCCTGAAAATAAACACTCCGGTACAGAAGGTGGCGGTATGCACCTATGCAAGTTGGTTGCGATCCGCCAATGGAATTTAAAGAAGGAGAAGAAGAACTGTTACGGTTACTCCATACTAGGCTCGTTCGAGTTGAACTGCGCCTCGAGAGCAGGACGTAGAAAGGGGCGTTGACAAAAAACTGCGTTCAAGTCGGACCGTTTTCAGCCGTCTTCTTCTTCTTCTTCTTCTTCTTCTTCTTCTTCTTCTTCTTTTGCTTTCTATGGCGGTTGGCAAACAGCTTTCGGGTGCATTACCGCCTCCCACTAATCTGGAGTGTGGACTAAGGACTCTAACATGACAACCAAACGAAAAGAAATACATATATACACACATACATATACATGTGTGTAAATAAATAAAGATATGTATATAAATATCTATATACATATATATATACATATAGAAACAATTAAATAATAAAATAGAAAAAATAAATAATTCATTTCTTTCTCAAATTCTATTCATTAGTGTTGTTGACTCTAAATATTCCAGAAAACGTTTCCAACATTTGTCACTAAAGCTTTTCTTTAGTACATTAATGATATTTTCCTCTCCCATCTCTCTTAGACCACTTTTTAAAACTTCTCTCGCTGCCTCGTACCTCTGACTGGACAATAAAACATGGTCCATGGTTTCTTCTTCTCCACAAAATTTACACTTTCCATTATTATGCTTTCTAATAACATAGAGGGAACTGTTCAGACCAGTATGGCCATTCCTTAGTCTTGTCATAATCATCTCCTCTTTTCTAGTTTGTCCACTAGATCCTGCTCCCAATCAATGGTTTATTCTTAAACAGATATCTTCCTTTGCTCCCTTTATTACATTCGTTCTGACATATCTTTTTGATTTGTCCCTTAATCACCACTTTAGCTTCTGACTTACTTATATTTACATTAACGTTATTTCGCCCTCTCTTCAAAGCCCTTTTTGCTGCTTTATCCGCTTCCTCATTACCATCGACTCCAACATGGACCCACACAAAATTAACCGCTATCCGCATTTGATGGATTCTTAAAAATGATTGTAGTATTTCAAACAGTAAATCCTCTCTGCTTCTGGAGTGGCAAAATGTCGAACTCGTTAGCACTGCACATGAGTCTGATGCAATCACCACTCTCTCTGGCCTGACCTCCTCTACCCACTGTAACGCAATAACTCTATGGCCATCATCTCACATGTAAACACAGACAAATCATCACAGAGGCTCTTCCCACACTCCAAATGGAATTCTGGGATTACTGCTGCTGCTGCTGTTCTACCAGTTTTAGGGTCTTTAGATCCATAAATCTGTATTTAATTGTGGTAACTGATGTATGACTTGAAGATCTTACAGTCCCCCCCCGTTCATCTCTCATCAGTTCAAGGAGGCCAAGATCAATTTCAGGCTGTGGCAGTAACCAAAGAGGAATAGCTAACCACAGCTGGAGAATAACTCCTATAACCTAATTCACTAGCCTTCTTCTGAACAACCCAACCAAAGCTCTTTGTTGGCCTGTTGTCATGTTCCCAGCATGGCTCAATTGCACTTATTGTTGGATGGTTGTTATGTCCTTGTAAACTGACCCAATATGTCATCATGATCTGGATTCTTCTCAACTCCAACGGCATTTCCCCCATTTCTACCTACAATGCTGGCACAGATGTTGTTTTAAAGACCCCACTACATATTCTTGACACTTGTATTACATCCAGTTTTCCCAACAACGTTTTAGACGCCGACCTATATTCCACACAGCCATAGTCTAGAACTGATCTTGGGCAACTGTGGCTAAGTGGAGTGCAGGGCCGTTCTTCAATCAGAGGATCGGCGGTTTGATCCCCGGCTCCTCTAGATGCATGTCGATGTGTCCTTGAGCAAGACACTTAACCCCAAAATTGCTGGTCTTTGAGTTTGGATGTCTTTTTATATATTTAACTATGTTATTATTATAATTGAGGATATAAGATTGGGCATATTTTAGTTCTTGGATGTCATATTTATTTAAACATTTATATAAATAAATATATGTGAAGATAGCGTCATTTCTAAATCATACAACCGTAAAATTTAAGAAATTTAAAAACTGAACCAACTGTCCAAACATCACAGCTACATAAACAGGCTCCACACGGAGGAAAAGCAGCGCTGCAAGTTTCCATCAGTGACAATTGTGCTTTTGTTTTAATACGTTTTGTGATGCTTCACAATCATTAATCGATGGACACATTCCAGTGCTCTGACTGAAAAAATGTTGACATGAAGTAGGATGTAGGCTTTCTCAATAAATATCTTTATTTACAGATGCTAAATATATTATTATTGCACAAAATGAGACCAACAGCCAACAATCTAGCATTAAGTATTACACAGAAAATCAATTTTTTTATACTATATTTATTCTGTTAAGCGGAAAATTTGTCTCTGCATTTGACCCATCCCCATGTATGATGAGCAGGGCTGCCTTTGACAGGCGACACGTCTATGGCCGAGGCTCGAACAGCCGACGTTGTGGTCATCAGCCAACCCTCTTAACCCAGTGAGTCACTGTCGCCCACCTATTCTACTAAAGAAAATCTAAGAGCGAATCAACTCTTTGATCCGAAGGCAGACAGAAGTTTCCCCATCATGCCCTGGGGTCACGCAGTCGATGGAGTGCAACTGCAGCGCCTGGCTCTAAAATCTGCGGCCACCCAGCTCACGTGAGATCATTGTTACGCACGTTTTCATGACGTCAGAGCAAGTCGGACGCAAATCTACCCAGAATGCATTGTGCGCCGATCGCCGGTGATCGATTCCGCGCACGTCTTGGCTCATGTCGAACGAGCCTACTTTTTGAATCTACGTGTGGAAGTAAATGTTCACAAGCTTGTTGGTGCTACTCGGACCTTTTATTAACGCACAACAGTCCGTCTCGGTATATCTTCCGGAGTTTGTCTGGAGGAAACCTTTCTGTGGTTTAGTGAAAATGTCTGAAGTCCAAATGCTGAGATGTTTACTCAACCAGCGACTAACTGCGGCTGCTGAAGAGATATTTGGTCTGTTTGAAAGAACGATAGCAGAGAACGAGGAGGAAGTGTCTTCTTTAAAAGAGCAGAACGAGCGACAACGGAAACTACTGGACGCTGTTTTCAACCCTCAGCTGCGGTTACACAGAGCAGGTTGGGTCACTTTATTTCTTCTGTTCATGCTCCGGCTGATAACGTTTCTATGTAGTTTCTGTAAGAAAACTTTTAAC